TGAACTCGTGGGTCCATTGACATACCAATAAAAACCCACATAAATACTTTAGAAGTTGTAATTAATACGGACAGGACGGCTCGGAGCTGTAACTTTTATTTACAAACTTCTTTAAAGAATATATTTCCTTTTCAAGATTTAGTCTTGGGTCCCATGTTTAGTAAGATTTTTCACTCTACTTTTTCAGGTACTTTGATATGTATTTTTTAATAAAAATAACTTAAAATTAACAGGTTTTGCGTATCTTCCCTTTAACAGAAAATAAAGACTGAGATTACTTGAATATAAAAAAGTACAAATTGAACTAATAGTACAAAATCATTATCAGTCTCAGTTACTACACAAAGTATGGCACTTGCTGCCCTGTATTTTTTTCTGGTGAAATGAGCAATGACAACATGTATTTGAAAATAATTTATAATAATACATTATGAGAATGAAGATAAATTAACATTATTTTTCTTATGCAACAGCACAGCTGAATTAAAAAAAAACTGCGGTTGCCAAGCCGCTTGCCAAGCGTGGCAACTATGGCATTTAAACGCGCTAGGAGGCAATCCATGGTGAAGCCTATGTTCAGATGCAGCAGTTCCTTAGTTTATGAAAAGTGATATTTTATTGCCACTTTCTTATTAGCTTGCTTTCGTGTAACTTCCCGACGAGCTAGACTTGACATTTCTAACATAGCTCAAAATCGGATGACAATGTAAGAATATTAAAAAAACGTGGTACATAAGAATATTATTTTTTAATAAATTATTAAAAAAAATTACTTTTTAAACATTTACTGATTGAGTGGCTACAAATTTATCGATGCTATTTTATAAGCAGTTCCCTAGAACGTGTCTATGATTTAAGCAACTGCGTTCGGGCTAAGCATCCTTTCAAATTCTAACTTTTTTTATCGGCGAAGCCGATTACCTCGCTCATTCAGACTTTACATTTATGTTCTTTGTGAAAATTGGTTTCTCGAAAACGGCTTTAAATATTTGGACGAAGACATGTACTAGATAATGTTTTACTTGCTAAGTTTATCTAAATAATTGTCATCGTAATCCTGACGACACACACGGACAGTTCAACTGATCAGTTCAAACTAGGACTGTTGATATTTTTTAAAACACCGGATTTTTGATATATCGATAAATAAAATAAACTTATATGTAAAACTCCGATATTGATATATTTATAATTATCATCGATATATCGAAAATCCGATATTTAAAAAAAAACATCAACATTCCTAGTTTGAACTGATCAATTGAACTAACCGTATGTGTGTCGTCCAATACGCTGAGCAACGCTTGGTCACAAAGGTACCTTTGATAATGTTAAAAAAATCTGGTATTTACGTTAGAGAATCGAGCGAAACCAATTTGCATTGTGTACGATCGAAATCTTTATCCTCATTTAAAACCATAGTAGATTAAAAGGACAACAATCACATTTATTATCTGCTTAGAGGGGTAAAATGTCAATATGATAGATATAAAACGGTCCCTTACATAAATTATTTTGATCGAAAGCTAAATGAATGAACCGATGTTTACTTAAGACTGTTTTTATTTGCTATTATATTTACGTGGCGATTATATTTTAATCTGATAGAATATACATTTGAAAAACAAAATATTTGATACTATATTATAACATTAAAATTTATAATTCAGCGGTCGTGAATTTTGGTTTTAATCTTTTTAATGTTGTTTTTTTTTTAAAGACGTTAACCCAACACTAAAATTTTCTCCTGTTTCGTAGAGGCAGTTCAAATACATAAATTGTCCAAGGGCAAACATCCGGCCGTCGATGCTACGGCGTTAAAAAATTACGAGTTTTCTACACAACGATTTAGGGATTCTGTTTTGTTACGAGGGTGGATTGAAAAGTACTCGGCCTAACACAGATCCATTCAATTCTAAAAATCAAATCTACCCACATTATTTAGTTCAGTTCAGACTAGTTCATTGTGTAAAGTTCGAAACGTGTGCGATAATTAGTTGTGATTTTATAAATTTATTAACAAAGTAATCGGACATAATTTCCGCGAATGGAGCAAATCGAGCAGCGTGCCGTCATTAAGTACCTCCATGAGAAGGGGCTATCATCAAAAGCCATCCATGATGACATGGTCGGTACATTAGGCGATTGTGCTCTGTCATATTCATCCGTCAAAAAATGGATAGCAGAATTTAAGCGTGGTAGAGAGAGTGTGAAAGATGAACCCCGCTCTGGAAGGCCTTCGACGTCAACTACTGACGAAAATATTAAAAAAGTACTTGATTTAATAATGGGAGACCGCAGATTAAAAATTAGAGAGATAGCCGAGATTACAGGCATCTCTTATGAACGAACTCAAAACATCATTGTCAACGAGTTGGGTTTCCACAAGGTGTCTGCGAGGTGGGTTCCGCGACTGCTTTCAGTTGAACAAAAAAGGACGCGATTGACTATTTCACGCGACTGTTTGGAGTTATTTGAAGCCGATGCAGATGATTTTTTGAATCGTTTTGTTACTATGGACGAAACATGGGTTCATTACTGTACACCGGAAACAAAACAACAATCAAAACAGTGGAGAAGACCTGGTTCACCACCCCCTAAAAAGGCTAAGTCGATTTTGTCGGCAAATAAGGTGATGGCTTCAGTATTCTGGGACTCGAAAGGTGTGATTATGATTGATTATCTTGAAAGGGGTCAGACTATAAACTCTGATTACTACTGCACCTTACTACGTCGTTTACGAGAGGAAATAAAAGAAAAACGTCGAGGAATGCTCAGAAGAAAAGTCCTGTTTCATCAAGATAACGCCCGTGTTCACACGTCAGTACAGTCAATGGCTGAAATTCACAACTGTGGCTTTGAACTGTTACCGCATCCGCCGTATTCACCTGATCTGGCACCATCAGACTTCTTTCTGTTCCCTAACCTAAAAAAGCACTTGGGAGGTCAAAGATTTTCGACAAACGACGAGGTCAAAGCAGCTGTAGACGCATATTTTGACTCTAAGGAAGAATAATTTTTTTTCAACGGTCTAAATTCTTGGAAGGGGAGGTGGCAAAAGTGTATTGAACTTGATGGTGATTATGTTGAAAAATAAAAATATAACTGATTTAGTATGTGTTTATTTTCTTGGTTAGGCCGAGTACTTTTCAATCCACCCTCGTATTATAGTTTCACATCAATTGGATGTTCACAATCATATATTATACATCTATACCTATTAATAAAATTGAAGTGTTTGTATGTAATATCGAAATATATGCCTTATATTTATTTCAGGGGTTGGAAATACCCACCTGAACTCTTGTCACTAAAAAATGAAAAACCTTTTGTAAAAGTTTTGTCTCTCTATATGTCTGGGCGCGGGCGGACTAATCTTCAGAATGAATCAACCGATTGTAATGAAACTTCACAACAAGATTGAGAACAATACCAAGAGTGATCTAGGCTATATTTTATCCAAAAACTTTGGAGATTTTTTTTCGATAAAACAAAATATTTAAATTTACGTGGTAGAGCCATGCTGCAGTTATATTACTAGTATAGTTGTAGCACGAATGGGTCGGCTCAACCTGGGCAGAACCACGCTCTCACAGAATACCAGCGTAAAATAGCAGCTTGATGCTGCTGTGTTTCGTATGGTGAGTAGAGAACCGGATACCCTTTTTACTAGAAACGAGCCATTCCATCTTAGTCCTCACGGGTGACAACGCATCTGCATTTTGATTCGTAATCGAGGATAGATGTAGATGTCTATGGGCCACAGCAACCACTTACAATCAGGTGGACTGTGTGCTCATTTGTCACCTTATCCTATGAAAAAAAAATTAAATATAATCATAATATTTAAATGGTCTTTGATTGTCAGAAATCTAAAAAACTTATTTATGGATTTTTTCCATTAAAAATATTTTTATTTATGGTATGAGGGTGGCAAACGCGCACACAGTCCACCTGATGGTTAGAGGGCGCTGTGACCCCATAGACATCTACATTTATCCTCGATTAAGGATCAAAATGCAGACGCGTTGTCACTCCTGAGGACTACGATGGAATATCTTGTTTCCAGTAAAAATGGTCTCCGGTTCTTTACACTCATCATACGAAAAACAACAGCCTTAAGCTGCTATTTTACGCTGATGTTCTGTGAGAGCGCGGCCCTGCCCCGGTCGAGCTGCAGCTGCAGTGTGGCTCTATCACGTAATAAAATATCAAAAAGAAAACGTTAATTCATAATTTGACTATTTGGATTATTTCAATGGTTTTTCCTTATAATATACAGTTAAAGTTCGTAAAGATATTCTTTTTAAATCATATTTTTTATTTTAGTTACTATTATATATTATACATAAGACACTTACCATGCAGGTGGACTGAGTGCTTGCTACTTTTTCAATATTACCTCTATAAATAGGAAATACCATAAAAATTTTGATATTAGAATTTTATAAAAAGACATTTAAATAACTTATTTACTGTAGAAGTTACTATAATGAGACATTATTGTAAGTTGTAATCTACAGTGCTATTAATTAATTTAATAAACACACAGGCGTTCACTGCTTAACAAAAATGTATTCGAATCGTAATTCGTTATCATATTGAGCTAGTACGATGTATTCGTCATTAGTCTAATCCTTTCCCTTTACAACGATCTGTATGCATATATAGATTTTTCTTTATTCACGGATTGTTACTAAAACACCATTATTTCTTCTGTATCATGGAAGTGTTTTACATGCAAAATATTTAAAAAAAAAAACACCCAGAAATATTCCCTAACTCGACATCAAAATGATAACCACATTGTAGTCATTTTGTAGTATGTAGTACCTACATTACGCCGTACACTATATAACTTTTCTATACGACTAGAGCTACAGTGCTCATAAAACACGAGGCAATGTATTACAAACTATCATTATATAATATGTCAATTAATGCTTGTTGTATCAAAGCACCCACTTGGTCAACTTGTACAACAAATACTTTGTTTGCAGAGTCCCTACGAGCAACTTTACGGTGAATGACGTACGCATGTGCGTGGGTTCGCGGCGGCTGCTTGACGTGATGGACGTGAACACGCAGAAAAACATAGAGATGACCATGAAGGTGAGTTCTGTAATTAATTGCATCTCCCAAGTGAATGACATGAAGGGTTTAGTTGTTTAGGGTAGGTCACGGCATTTTGACAGTAACAAAAGTTTTGCCTTCAAATGTGTACAGCTCTAACATTTTTGAGGCGGCATACTACACATTGTTTTTGTAAATCACAACTAATACGAATATAATCCACATTTCCTTTAAGAAAATAGAAAAAGTATTTTAATTTAGAATAAAATGTGAATTTGTAACTGATGAATATTAAAGAAAACATGTATTCATAAGTTCGTTTATAATATTATACACTAGACAGAATTTTCTTATATAATCTATATTATATATTTTTGCTGTGGTAGAGTCACTCTGCAGCTACATTGTGTTTGTAGCACGAATGAGTCTGCTCGACCGGGGAAGGACAAGGCTCTAACAGAAGCTTTTTCGCTGGCAACAAGGCATTCCATCTCAGTCCTCAGTGATGACAATGCATCTGCCTTTTGATTCTTAATCGAGGATAGACGCATATATCTATGGGGCACAGCATCCACTTATTAGATTAAATGCGTGCTCGTTTTACCACAGAATAAAAAGTACTACGTACGGAAGTTACACTTTTAATGTTGACTGCTTGCCGACTTTTAATAGCCTCCATAATTATTATTAATTGGATAAATCGCGCACGCAAGCTAAATAAAACTATCGCTGCGCGCGAGTGTCCATATTACTTTGCATCTTTTCCGCTTCCTAAGTCACGACGGACTTTGCATGGTTATTATGGGATGTCAATAAAAAGTAAAAATATACGTTGCGAAGTGTTAATTAAGTTACTTAGGTGAAGTACCTATTCTGACTGACTCTTCTGATCGACTGACCATATTTACGCACCTTAGTATGTGAGTTCTGCGATGTCCAACGCATGCAACTTGCAAGATTCGTCGGGTAACGCGATGCTTGGCTCGGAAGAAACAACAAATAAACTTCAAATATGATTTCTAACATTCGTATTCTACTATGTTAATAACTTGTTAGTATGTAGTTTTATTTTCAGTACAGAAGGAATTTTAATTAGGTAATATCCGTAAATATAGTTTTATTCAATAAATCTTTTTTGGTATAAGTAAATACCTAAAATGTAATAAATTCACGTTTCATAATTTCCTACTTAAATCCTTCGGTAACCTAAAGAATGTTATATCTGAAACCTTTTGTTGGTCATTTAGCATCTATCCACGCAACAATCATAGTAGGAACGACGTTTTGCCATTAAAATTTGTCAAATAGATGGGTAATATACATAATATATACCTATATTAATTTTTAAATTACTAGAATTACCTGTACCCGTCAGAGATATTTTAACCATCAAAATTATAGCATCAAGTGTTCAATATTGACAAAAATCTATGCTAATGTCCCGGAATAATGTTATTGGATCGATATATAAAAAGAAAAAATAATACTGTAAATTCTACGTCACAATATGTATCAGTATTATAAAACAAATTTTATACACGTAATGTCCAATTTTTTGTTGCAATCAAATATTACTTTATTTGTTAGTATCATAATATGTTGATATATGATTTGATACTGCAAATATTTGGATTCGACTTAAAAGCCATGTCAGGGATCCTATCGCTACAAGCAAATATTGTATATGTTATACATATTTAGGTATTTTCATTTGATTTTCTTTATTGTACACCAAATACTTAAAGAATGAAGGGGGAATGTTAGGGGTAGAATTTCCCAAATACCTTTCTTCTGTATACTGTGACTGTGAGTGCTGTGGGTGTCTGCGTCTGTGTCTATACGTCGAGGAAGAAGGGAGTAATGAATTTTTAGTGTATAATATATATCAACATTTGCGTGAAGAAAAGATGATTTTAACTTTAAAAAATGTATAAAATTTAGTTGTTGTAAAACGAAAGAGTTTTAACTAAATTAAAAAACACTAACTAATTTAATAGCTAGTTTCTATATCTATATTAAGTATTTATTTTTCATCGATGTCTCGGGTTTCAACGATTTTCCGGTTGGTATGGTTGGTTACCCTAAGCGAATCAATCCTTTGTCTGATATCGTTGTTGAGAGACTGTACTACGGTTGATAGAATCAGGCGTTACTTTGCGGAAATCCATTATAATAAAAATATTAATTACTTCGCAACCTTCCGCTAACTAAATACATTGATGTGTCTTACCTGGATTGAAGAGCACCTCCCGCCCTCCCTCAATTATATGCACTAACTCCATCACCACTAGTCTCAGCACCACTACTCCCAACACCACTACTCCCGGCACCATTACTTCCAACACCACTATTCCAGGTAAGAAGCTTAGCGGTTAGCCGCCGTAGAGTCTACATCAGCTGAGGATGCCTCGTGTAGAGGCGAAACACGTGTCGTATTGTCATCGATGGTGTGTCTTACCTAGAATAATGGTGTTGGAAGTAGTGGTGACGGGAGTAGTGATGTTGAGACTAGTGGTGACGGAGTTAGTGCATGCAATTGAGGGAGAGCGGGAGGTGCTCTTCAATCCAGGTAAGACACATCATTGTATTTAGTTAGCGGAAGTAATTAATATTTTTATTGTACTACGGTTGCCATTACGATACTTCATACATAAAGGAAATTTTATGCGAGTCACGTTCTCATGTTAACCAATTAATTATTTATTTGTTAATTTTTTTATAGGATAGGGTGACAAACGAGCACATAGTCCACCTGATGTTAAGTGGTTGCTGTGGCCCATATGCATCTACATTTATGCTCGATTTCGAATCAAAATGCAGATGCGTTGTCACCCGTGAGGAATAAGATGCAATGCCTCCTTTTCAGTAAAATGGGTCTCCGGTTCTCTACACTCACCATACGAAATACAGCAGCATTAAGCTACTATTTCACGCTGGTATTCTGTGAGAGCGTGGTCCTTCTCCGGTCGAGCCGAACCATTCGTGCTACAACTATACATCTAATATAACTGCAGTATGGCTCTACCACTTTTTGATTGCGATCCTCATAATAATCATCACAGCCCTTCACATGTCCACTGTTGAGCATAAGCCTCCCCCCGAGGAATGCGATTTGCGCAGGACGTCCCGATTGTCAAGGGTCTGGTGACACGTCCCGATTCATCCTTGATCGGGACGCCAAATGTCCTGATTTTCATCAACCTTCTTATTCTATACTATAATTTTGACAGCGAAAAAAACATTAAAATATTTTTACTAAATTAAACAGAATTATATTAAAATGAATGATTTGAAAATTCAGGGGCTGCAAAAAAATAGTTTAAAAATGTTTTGATTTGCCTAAAACGAAAAAACATAGACGAAGAATATGGAATTTTTACGATGTTTGGATGAAAAGTTATTCGTTCATGAGATCAGACCCGAATAGTAATTATAAAGCACAAAAAGGCTACAAAAAAACCTATATTTTGTAGCCATTGTAGCTGTCCTGATTTGAAAACCAAATTCCCGATTATTTTTACCTTCCGTCCCGAAATTTTACTTGCTATAGACCTGGCAACACTAGTCCTGAGCCACCTGCATCCATCGACTTCCTGCATGTCTTACCAGGTCGTGACTCCATCTAGTGGAGGGTGCGGTCGTGAAAAACATGTCAACGTAATTCTTTATTGGATTCATATTCTGTTAAATTTTGAATTGTTGATTGATTAAAGTAAACCACGACCATACATCGCTTTTACAATTTCCCATTAAGGCAATTAGTTGCATCCAAGCACAGAACACTATTACTCCTATCGGAGAAGAACGACAACTTCATACAAAATTTAAGAAATGAGATATATAACCACTAGCGCCATCTATCGTCAGCCTCCTGCACTTCTTGTGTGGCGGGAAAATTTGAATGTGGTCTTTTTTGTTTTTTTTATTTGAGGTACTTTTGGGTTTCCTATCCCAGCGCTAAATAAAAGAACAAAAATTACAAAATTTCTATTTATTTATTCAAAATAAAAAAACATACATAACTTAAGAAACAATTTCTCCAGCAGCTTAGTTCTTTCTATAAAGACATTTGATGGGTTTAAACATGAAAAGAAAATCAATAATGATTACAACATTTCAATTACTTAAGTAAACAATTATAAAGAATTGAAATAAGATTTACAATCATGGATGAATTGATAATATGCACAATGATTGTCTCCAATAACCAAAATATCAATATTTTAATCTAAAACAAGTTAATTAATAAATAAGCTCCTACACACAAGTGCAAAGTGCAACATTCACAAATAATAATTGTGTTTTGATAATATTTGGTTGTCTATCTATTTCCCTGAATTGACACTAAAAATTTTGTCACTATATTATATGCAATATATTAAGTATTGAATGCAGCTTATAAATAGAATAATTTTAATTCAAAATTATAAAACATATTAAATATTAGATTACAAAAATATTCCTTATTTCATTTAAAAAAATTTCATATAGAGATACATACTTTCTTTTTCAGGTTCAACATTATGTGTTATGCTTTGATGTTTGTGGTTGTTCTTCAGTGAATATAATGTTGTCCTTTTTGAAGATCCTGCTTGTGGTTTTGCAGCAATAATTTGCGAGGGACCAGCTTGTGATTCCACAAAATAAAATGGGAATACACTTTGTTAGTCTGGAAATAAATAAAAACTGAAATAAATTATAGTATCATAAAATTATTATATACAATTAAATTAACATTATATTCATTGACATTACTTTCATAGTAAACCAGTCCCTACTCATGGGACTACATTACCCTTCTACCAATACAAAGTAAATGAATGGATCTTGTTCATCCACCTTGCTCTATAATACACCCACTATTACAATTAATATAACAAAATAAGATAGTAAATACAATAACTATGTGAAAAGAAATCTTGTGTTTATCTATTGTTTGAGAACCATTTGATGCATGTATTTCTACTGCGTTATACAAGTTGTGCCTTTAAATTTGATAGGTTTAGGACCAAATGTAATTATTCATATATTGTGATGCC